CATGTTCTTTCATGTATTTCTTTTCTTTTATATCTTCCTGTTTCTATTCTAAGGAGAGCAACTCCACATCTAAATTTAGCAAAAGCACTTTTAAATTTAGGTGACGATTTACATTTAAGTAAGGTTCAGTACAATAATCATATTCAAATAACTTATATGTTCTTAATTTATTACCTTGAGCATACGTAGATACTCTATTACTCCAATCTATTTTATATTTATCAAACATTATTGTTTCAATTTGTACAATAATACTCTTATATAATACATTAGTTTCAAAGTTACAATAGCTTTCAAAATTATGAGTTTTAAAAACTTCCATAACTGTAAGGTTCCAATTCTTAATTCTACCTCTAGTTTTTTTCATTGGCTATTTGAAAACTTTAAAATTTATTCTATCATGACTCATATTTGAACGTCTTGTCCAGTGTCTAAATACACTTGTCTATTGTTTTACAGATGGTGGTTTCCAAACCATATCTCCGTGTATGGCATCATTTGGGGTATATTTACCGACACCCATAAAAACTCTTATGACTTTATTTTGGACAGCATTGAAACATGAGTAATCGCGTGTACCCCAAATACACGACCCATAATCAATAACTGACCAGATCATAGTGTTGTATAATTAAGAAAAAAATATCATATTGGAAACCACCATGTGTTTTACTTTTTACAATCAATAAACCCAATGCTCTTCTGGCTGATTTGGCTACTGCATAAGCCATTAATTGATAGTCTAAAAATTCTGTTAATAACAAACCTAGATATTGATAGTTACTAACACATTCCATTGCATTGATACATATTGTAAAATTACATTCAGTTCCGATACCAATGATTTCATTAACTAACATCCTGCTCAAAATTTCGGTCTATTCTTAAAAACTATGACCTTTCCCTTAGTACGTAATCTCATAATCAGTAGGGATCATTCTCTCATTATTTCTAACCATATACTGTATTCAAGAGGACAATCATTCGATTTTCTGGTTTGAGGGACAGGGGGGCTTTAAAAATCAATATCCTGGCTTAGTAATAGCTAAAAATAAATAACTGTGCCAAAGACACGATGAAAATAATTTTTTTCACAAAAAAAATGCAGGAAATGTAAGTGTTCAAAAGGGGAAATAAAAGTTCGCGTAAAAAATAAGCTTGCGTAGCAATAGGTGAAAAAAGAGTCAATCTGCAAAAAGTCCTACTGCCCCCTTCGAATATCAAAGATTTTTTTATCTGTTGTGCATGCTTTTTTTCCGCTTCGCCGCTCGAACAGTTATTTTACACTTTTGTACACGTTTGTGTTGCGGAATATTCATTTTCATCCTTTTTTGTGCTAAGTTATTTATTTTCAGTCCTTATCAGGCCAAGTTATTAATTATCAAAATCCTCATGCTACCCCCATCCCCCCACCACGCCCAAAAAATCAAATGATCGCCTCCTAAGACAAAGTGTCATAAAAAGAAAAACAATATACATCCGCTACTTCGTAGGGTGGGATTTAAAATGTATTATCTTTATGTGAAGAGATTTACTCATTTGGATAACATCAATTTTCAATAAGGCTCTCTAGATACAATTTTAACTTTAACAAGTAATCCTGTTTTAGGATGCTAACATAAAAAATCGCCAAAACGGACCCCAATCATTGTTCTGTGGTATCCATGGTAAAGACTGCCATTTTGGAAATTCCAAAGTTAAATAGCACATCAACACATGCCAGTTAACATTTGTGTAAAGTTTCATTCAGTTTGAATTATTTGGATTTTTTACATTTTTGCAGTTTCCATGGTAACGGCGGCCATTCTAAAAATTCTAGAGTCAAAGTGCTGCTACATATGGTGCTACCTATAATGATCTATAATCATATATAACATTTTATGTGCATAGCATCAATTGAACATTGATGTTCTAGAATGTTCCATGAAAATTGATCCCCTTGAAATAATGCCAAGGAGACCCCAGCTGAAATAAAAAATGTGCAATGGACAACTGGACATTGGTCTCTTGTTTCATACAAAACATAAAGTTTCTACCTATTGAGATGAAACAGTATCTAATGAAAAACTAAAATGACCCCACCCATGTTCCAACCCCCTAATTTATACCAAGGTGACCCCTGGTGTACATACAAAATAGCGAATGCACCCCTAGGGATACTGATCCAACACCATGCCAATTATAAAGTTTCCATCATTTAAGACCTCCAAGAAAATGGTCGGACAGTTTAAGGGTAAAGAGGAATAATGATAATAACTAGATTTGCCATTGCAAGCAATAGCGGATGTCACCCTTCCACCCATTGCCACAAAGTGGCAGCTATTTCAAAAATTTTAAACCGGGAAGCTTATATATATGCATGCTATACATGGTCCTGTAAATTTTTAGAACATTTAGAGCATTGTTGATCATTTAAAATTTTTTGACATTTTTGCAGAAACCATGGCAACGGTGGCCATTTTTGAAATTCCAAAGTCAAAAGTCTCATCTAGACTTGCCAGTTAAGAATCATATTAAGTTTCATTAAGTTTGGAGCATTTTGTAATTTTTTGACATTTTTGCTGGTTTCCATGGTAACAGAGACCATTCCCAAAATTTAATGACGGGTGCTACATTGGTACATGAGAGGGAACATACCATTAAAATTTCAATGGATTTGACATACCATTTTAAGAAAGTAAATGCCACTTTTAGGTTTTTGAATCATTTTGACCTGTTTTGCATTGTTTCCATGGTAACGGCAGACATTTTGAAATTACAACGCCAAATTCCAAATCTACCTATGTTGTTCATCATTACTGTGAAGTTTCATTAAATTTTGAGCATTTTGATATTTTTGAAATTTTTGGTGTAGTTTCCATGGCAACATAGTAGTTCTAGTGATTGCCAAAATCATCCAAAACCAGTATATAGTGGGCACCTACATTGTATCAAAATTTCATGATTCTAAGTTTATGCATATCCAAATAATCCACCAAACTCTAAAATTTTATTTTTTCACCTTTCTTTGGTTTCCTTGGTGATGGCATCCATTTTCTAGTGCCAAAGTTGCACTGCAACTCGTAAGTCAGGGTTCCTTGTTATAGAGAACAACCATTAAGATTGGTGCATTAGGCTCTGAGAAAACTGCAGGACAAAATTAGGTGGAAGAGTAATAATAATAAAAAAAAAAAGAAACGGAGGAAAAGCAATATGTCATCCGACATTGTCGATCGGGTGACATAACTAGAATTGCTATTTCAAGCAATAGTGGATGTCGCCCTTCCCCCCATTGCCACTAAGCAGCAGCAATTTCAAAGATTTCAAACAGTGAATGCACATATATGCTTGCATGGCTATACATCTTTCAGTAAATTTTCAGAACATTTGGATCATTTTGAAATTTTACACATATTTTCTGTTTCCATGGCAACGGCGGCCACTTTGCAAACCCCAAAGTCAAAAGTCTCATCTGCACTTTCCAGTCAACATACATAATAAGTTTCAGTAACTTTGGAGCATTTTGAAATTTTGGACATTTTTGCTGTTTCCATGGTAACGGTGACCAATTCCAAAATTTTAATGACAGGTACCCCATTGGTACATGAAAAGGAACATACCATTAAAGTTTCAATGGGTTTGAAATTCCATATTAAGAGAGGAAATGCTACTTAAAGGTTTTTAGAAGATTTTTAGAGCATTTTGACCTTCTTTTGCATTGTTCCCATGGTAACGGCAGCCATTTTGGAAATTCCAACGCCATTTGCTACATCTACAAATACCGCTCATCATTACTGTGAAGTTTCATCTAGTTTGAAGCATTTTGAAATTTTTGAAATTTTTGCTGCAGTTTCCATGGCAACATAGTAGTTACGATGAATGTCAAAATCATCCAAAACCTGTATGTAGTGGACAACTACATTGTATTAAAATTTAATGATTTTAAGTTTAAGCATACCCAAATAATTAACCAATCCTCAAAATTTTATTTTTTCACCTTTTTTCAGTTTTCCTGGTAACGGCGGCAATTTTTTGAGTTCGAAAGGTGGTTCGCAAAACTTCAGATGGTGGTCCTAATTATGGTAACCATTCGATAGGATTGGTTTACTAAAATCCCTGGAATCCCTCCGACAAAAAAGGTGGAATAATAATAATAATAATAATAATAATAATAATAACAATAATAATAATAATAAAAAAGAAACGGAGGAAAAGCAATATGTCACACGACATTGTCGATGGGGTGACATAATAACTACATTTGTAATTGCTAGCAATAACGGATGGCACCCTCGTCCCCCGTTTGCCAGGGTAACGGCAGACATTTTGAATATTCTTAAGTCAAACAACGCATCTACATATGCCAATAAACATTTATCTTAAGTTTCATTAAGTTTCGGGCATTTTGAAATTTTTTACATTTTTGTGTTTCCATGGTAACGATAGCCATTTCAAAATTCTCAAAGCAGACCTCTTATTGGCACAAGCCATGTTACCTATCCATACAGTTTCGTTAAGTTACTTGTAATATTCTTTAAGAAAATGCTGATTTAATGTAATTTACCATAGGGTCTATGTTAAACTTTCGGCCTGTTTCCAAGACAACGGCAGCTATTGGAATTTCTTAATAATGTCTGCAAATCTAGGCATACTGGGTAACATTTCCATAAAGTTTCATCCAGTTGGATTTTATTATTAAAGATTTTGAATTTTTCACATTTTTACTGTTTCCATGGTAACGGCAGCCGTTTTGAAAATTCCAAGTTCAAACTGCAAATCTGCCCACGCCAGTTACCATTTCTGTAAAGTTTCTTCCAGTTTGGAACATTTTGATTATTTTCGCATTTTTGCTGTTTCCATGGAAACGGCGGCCATCTTTTACCATTCCATAGCAAGATGCACAACTTCACATGGGGGTCCTCATTATAGTATAGTTCCATCAACATTGGTCCATTAAATTTCGAGAACTAGCGCAGACAAAAATGTGTGGAAGAAAAATAAGAAAAAAAGAAACGTAGAATAACAATATGTCACACCAACTCCGTTGAGGGTGCTATAATAAGAAACGGGACAAAAACATAAAGTCTCCAAAACTCCGTTTTGGCGACTTAATAATAAAACATAATCAATCTACCAATACACAATGTTAAACAATACATGTATATATACATGACTTTACATGACCAAAAAAAATGGAATTCCTATAGTCTTAAAAGTTCATATATGATAAACATTATCACTGTTAAAAATATAATGACTTGAAAATTAAAAGGCAGATACAGTTTTTGATTTTTTTAACTTCACACAATAGTGAATTCCACACTTTTGTACCATTTTTTTGTAGAAGTATGTATTTGAATTAAGAACAATGAAATAATATCTGATGATAAAAATTGGAGTATTTTAATACCTTGCAGTTTGTAGTCACAATAATATTTGACAAATATTTCAGTACTAGTTAATTTTTTTTATTTGTGCGTCAATTATGACTAGTTGTGCAGGAATAATTCCAGATGGTTTTCTAATATCATATTCGTTTAAAACAGTTCTAGCTGCCTTTTTGTAATTAACAGTTACTTAAAATTTTGCTGCTGTTTTCCCATATTGAACAACTGTAATTTAAATGTACAAGAATATAATATTCATTGCACAATGAAATTGTCGCATTATGATTCAAGTAATTCTTTTCAGAAACGTCAATAAAGAAAGTAACTACTTTTTGATAACGTACTAGATAAGATCAGACCAAAATCCAAATTCAAAACATTTATCTTTCGTTGAGGACTTCGGGCACGCAATAGGCCATACTTTGTCTTGTGCTTGTCTGTTATTTGTAACTTTAATAATTTTTCTTTTTTATTTTACAAGCGGAATTCAAAGAGCGCAATCTGAAGATATTAAAATTGCAGAAATACATGTCGCGCTTAAGTAATCATGGTGTGTCATACACAAAAATACTGCCAAAATATTTCCAAATTTCGCCAAAAATGAAAAGTGTCTATTAATATGGAATATTTTGACATAAAGGTCAACTTTGTTAATCATTTGGGTAAGCTGCAGGATTAACAAATAAACTCTTATCGTATTTGTTGCTTTGTAGATAAAATATTCCATGTGCAATGACATTTCCTTAACTACATCTGTCTCGAGTTTTTGGATCCTTTCATAAGGTTAGAATGCTAATGGTAATAAAAAACATTCTCCTTCCCACTTTGCTTTACTGACTCGTTCATATGGTAACAGTCAATATCTCAGTTAGAAGTACTTTAAAGGTAAATGTGATCGTTCACTATATCAGTTTGTTCTTTCATTAAAGCTTCGTACACATTAACTGACGCACACTCATCATAAACGTGTGGTCTGTCGTCCAGGTTTTCTTCACTGGAAATTTGGTCGTATGTCTTTGGAATACATCCGTCGTAATTGTGCGAGCTGATCTGCCAATCTCCAGATAATGGTTGGTAACTACTGGACGTATCAATAGTTATAAGTGAATGTGCATTATTGGAAGTATGCTCCATGATTTCAGGCAATTCCACTGAACTTTGGGTATTTTTTCGGTTAAAACCATTCCCCGAATGCTCATTGTTTGAAAGCCTTTCAACTGTAGTTGGATTACGTTGAGGACGCGGGCTGCTTTCGGTGTTTTCGTTATTGTTTTCTTTTAAGTGTGTCCCGTTTGTAGATCCCCGATCCGCATCATTCGAATGCTTTATTTTGATAGCATCTACATATCTGCTTTGTGCTTGAAAAATTACAAATGCTACAATCCCAACAAAAATGATTATTCCAGAGGTAATGGCAGCAATTATGTATATTTGTAGACTTGCAAAACCTGTAAAAATTAGCAAAATATTAGTTGTTTATATTTCGTAAAGCCTAGAGTAAAAGTCTTTGTCTCTTCCGATTATTGATACTACAAAAAAGTTATAAGATATTATAGAAATGGTTCATTGTTACTTGCTAAACGTATAGTGGCAAATAGGTCATGCATATTCAGAACGAGTATAGAATGTACTTTGCTTTTTATATTGTCGCTATAAAATATGTAACCGAATATTTCGCACAAATCCAACCTATATATTTTCATATCTTCTTTATAATATACTCTATTCTTCTCATTTTCAAAATCGTCATGATAATGCTTGGCATAATCTTCTCATTATTTATACAATTCGTATGAAACATAGTTAATCGATAATTCACCTAAACTCTATGATGTTAAGTTGGTAATAAAAAGAATTTTCTTTAATATCATTTGCAAATGTCAATAAAAATATTGCTGTCCTCTCAAATATCAATATTTGAGATTTATCTTATTCGGGATTCGTGGATGAAACTGTGAAAGCCTGTTTTAGATATACACAAGGGTACATTAGCTTTTTTATATTTTTGATTTTGTTTAGTCCATAAATGGTGTAGATGTGTTAACATGACTATGGTTGCAATCTGATTAAAAACTACCCACGTTTTAATGCCTTGTGAACGAAGCGAGGACACATGGTCTGCGTTTTAATCTGAGTGATTACGGTTACATACACCCTAGCTAAGAAGAAATTGACTGTTTAAAACTTTTAGTCTCCAGCGTACTCATTATATGTTATTCCAGGAACACGTGTCATGAGCACAGAATCGGTATCATACATTTTTACATTTCATTATATAAACTTTGAAATAGTCAGTACTCGTAGATGTTTCATCACTGATCATTATATCAGATACCACATCTACATTTACAGTGCTCTCAGATGACACTTTCACCGGCTTCTCGTCGCCACTGCTGGCTGTTTCTATTTTTATTGGTTCAGTGGTCCATTTGTATTCTGAAAATGTTGTAGGTAAAATGAATTAAATGAAATGATTTAACTTTGCAAATTAGTATACGTATTGACATGAAAATAAGTCAGCGCATTACAATAAATGCGATGACCGTTGTGAATTTACATCTTATTGCATACTGATAATTTTCAGAAAGATATTAACATTTAATAGCAAATGTTTATCAATCAACTGTTTACTATTGAGGACTTAACATTTGTTACAAAAACACTTACTTTGTCTGTCCAAATATCTAATAATACGAAGCATACATTAAAAAAGAAGTTGGTATGACTGCCAGGTTTATACAATCAATACAATAAACGAAAAAGATAACCATCAGACATTTTATAAATTATAAATTAGCATTCTGTCTGAAGTTTAGTATGTTACCTGTCCCAGATAAGGAGCCTGTAATTAAATGGTTGTCGTTTGTTGCTGTATATATCATATTTGTTTTTCGGTTTTGTTTTTTTTTCATAAATCAGGTCGTTAGTTTTCTCATTTGTAGTACTATGACTTATAGTTGTTAACTTCTACGTCATTTGGTCTCTGGTGGAGAGTTGTCTCATTGGCAATCATACCGCATCTTTTTATTCTTATATATATAGTGATTATGTCATTTTAAGGAGAACCACTGAAGGTAAGTCACTTACATTAGTTACTATGCAGTCGTATTAGCACAGGCAAGAATTTGACCCAGTCCCTCAGTTATGTCAACTGCATTTTACATACAGTTTACGTATTAAAGTTTGTGCTTAGATCAGTTTAAGGGGAACCACGTATGGTTAGTTAATGATATTTGATAAGCAAGGTATTAAAATTTTCACTTCTCATTCTCATTTAGATTTTTAGGCCTCGCCCGCTAAGTCAGTATATCTTGACTTTGATGTTTTTGGCATATTTAACATCTTAAATAAAATTGAGAATGGAAATGGGGAATGTGTCAAAGAGACACCAACCAGGCTAAAGAGCAGAAAACAGCCTAAGGCCACCAATGGGTCTTCAACAGAGCGAGAAAATGCCGCACCCGGAGGCGGGCTTCAATTGGCCCCTAAAAAAATGTGTACAAGTTCAGTCACACTAAACTCCGAAACATATAAATGAACTAAAATTTAAAAAAAACATACAAGACTAACAAAGGCCAGAGGCTCCTGACTTGGGACAGGCGCAAAAATGCAAAACAAAGTTTGTAACTTATATTGGTCGATTAAAAGGGAACCACTTATGGTTAGTGAAAGGTATGCGGTATGCAATTGCATTATCATGGACACATCTCATGTCCATGACGATGATTTTGTCTCGTCTGTGTAGACATTGTCCATTTACTTTGCCGCAACTTTTGCACACCTTTCGTGTTAAAGTTTGTTATAAGAACATATAATGCATGTACCCCTGTTCTCAACGACTTCGTACGGTTTTATCCAGCGTTATCACGATAAGGTTAAAATCAACTTTTCATTGTATCGATACTGTAAATTACCCCCCGCCTCGAAATGTTTTTAAGTTAAATTTTATTAAGCAAAATGACATGAGTAACCTGACCGACTCGCAGCTGTTATGTTCAAGTAGAAGTTATAATAATCTATTCATATGTGTCCGTACATCTGTCTTGTACTGCTTATGAATTGTTTCGTTGTGAGTTGTGTATCTTCCTCTGAATTTAACTTCCGATTACCCTATTAACGTAGATTGTTATGAATTTCTACCTGATAAATATATTTGTACCTTTTACAGTCAACCTGATGTAATTATACAAGGTATCATTAACAGTGTCAACAGTACAGCAATAAAACCCCGCATCTTGGAAACTACTGTTTGAAATTTCTAAATCATATTTTTGTCAACCTTCTTCTCCAATAATTCGAAGTCTTTGATGGAATGGTAATTTATTATTTTTTCTCCAGCCATCTGTATATGTTATACTTATTCCTGAAGATGTATCCCTGTTTCCATTCAGATTTAGCCACTGAATTATTCTGTTTCCTGGTATACTCCGGCATGGAATAACAGGATAACAGAATCGCCAACTGTACTTCTTATTTCAGGATATTGATCAGAAAATACTGCTGAATAAAGAAAACGCAACGAATGCTTATAAAAAGCCACATATACCCTTAATATATATATGAAAGTTGTTTTCAATTTAGACTTGTTTATATATATATACAGTATACTATTATACATTGTTATAGTAGCCGTGTAAATACCATATGTTGTACATTCATTTAATCAAAGAATCAAGTTTCAGGCAAAAACATAACAAACAAATAATTAATGTGGAAATAACGGCCACAGTTCACTTTGAATGACGAGGTCTGACATGATAACAGAATGCCGACATGATTGATTTAACTGACAAATCTGTGCACCATTGGTAGCAATGGATGCTCAAGTTCCTCAAGGTTTATCCTAATGAGAACGAGGGTTATGATCCCCAAATACGTCGGGTCTTATTCGCATCACCCCCTGGTTTCAGGGGAGTAAAGATTAACAGTTTCTATATCATAAAACTCTATATGCACGCTGAATACATAGTCCATACTATGTATCATAAAACAGTCAAGCTCGAACTGGTACCAATGCAGAACCGGCCACTCAGGGTAGACATGAGATGGTCTCAACAGAACTTCCTGCAGTACCGCAGGAAAGTAAAAACCTAATATGATCCGACGTACAATTACGGGAAACGATCATAACCCCTTAATCTTGCCAGATCCCGACATCCTTTTTGACTGTGACGAATGATTTTATTACAAAATAATGGACAATTAGAATCAAGTAATCAAGATAAATGCTGATCTTTATCCAAATAAAGTCAAAAGTTAAATGCATTCCAGGCGAAGAACTAATAGCAGGTATTGATAATTCTATATTCACACTGCTGGTGTCTGAATATGTAGATAAAAATGGTAGCCATTCATGAAAATTAGCATTAACATATATAGTTCTCGAACGTATGATTCAGCAAGCAAATCCATCTGCTTGTTTGTCTCCTCTTTTTTGTCCAAAATGTTATAGATCCGGCCTATTCTGGTCATTCTGAAAAGATAAATAAAACAGCAGCAGACAAAAGAATTGTTATTAGATGGAAGATTGCAGGGGGAGGTGGGTGGGTTTTTGAAACTTTTACATATCTACAAGAGTGGCTAGTTCAATGTAATGCCGAAGAGTCATGTGACGTTGATTATCGGGAAACGAGAACCGGATCCGAATGACGCAGTAATCATTTCTCTTTCATTAAATTGGTTTATCTTATAAATGAGATAAACCGTATTAATCAAAGAATCAAGTTTCAGGCAAAAACATAACAAACAAATAATTAATGTGGAAATAACGGCCACAGTTCACTTTGAATGACGAGGTCTGACATGATAACAGAATGCCGACATGATTGATTTAACTGACAAATCTGTGCACCATTGGTAGCAATAGATGCTCAAGTTCCTCAAGGTTTATCCTAAAGAGAACGAGGGTTATGATCCCCAAATACGTCGGGTCTTATTCGCATCACCCCCTGGTTTCAGGGGAGTAAAGATTAACAGTTTCTATATCATAAAACTCTATATGCACGCTGAATACATAGTCCATACTATGTATCATAAAACAGTCAAGCTCGAACTGGTACCAATTCAGAACCGGCCACTCAGGGTAGACATGAGATGGTCTCAACAGAACTTCCTGCGGTACCGCAGGAAAGTAAAAACCTAATATGATCCGACGTACAATTACGGGAAACGATCATAACCCCTTAATCTTGCCACTTGAGTGTGTCTATACACACTCATCAGAATCCCCCCCCCCTTTCCACAACCTAAAAGTCCATTTAAGTGAACTAGCTAAGAAGGCATTACTCTTTGTTAATACGTTTGAAACTTGGACAATAATATGTTTCCTTTTGTAATAGCTTTGTTATAATGGGGCTGTTATCCTTCCATGATATCCCCTCAGCAAAATTTGTTTTGGACGATATCACTTCTCTTGTTGTATTATCCATGTTATATATATATTTAATATCATCATAAAAACGCAATATTTTAGCAGTAATACATCCACTGATAAACCGATCATGAATTATCAATAGGTTTACTAAAAGAGTTATCTCGCCTTAACTGGCTTAGTTGAACAAATTTATCCAAAAAAAAAATATGTTTGGTACTTGTTAAAATATTTTTAATAATGCGATAAATCAGGAAGTTTTCTTCATAGAGATAAACAGTCTAATCAATAACATTGAACATCTGTCTACAAATTCGGAGATTTGGGTAACAACTAGACTGATTGTTCACTGCAAAAGTGCAATCCAAGATGGTGGTATAATACCATGAATCTACCTAATTGCTTTGTTAATCTGCATTATGCACTATTGGTTTTGCAAATCTATGTTCGGAACTTCCTCTACAAAGTTTACGAAAATGCATTACCTGTATATATAATTCATGCTATTCTAGGCACCCCTTCGAAGTCGTGTACATTTGTATATATTTAATTTTTATTTTCAACAAGTATCGTGACCAATATTTTAAAACCATGGGTGTATAACGTACACTTTAAAAATTAATTTATTCGTATCAATCAATATATAGAAAGTACCACACTTCCTGTACTAAATCGGCAACCACATGCATTCCTACTAGTACTTAAAATTCGGATACAGCTAAGCAGTCCGTGCAGCTTTTTGGAAAGTTCAAACTTGAATAGTTTTACGTCGAATATATTTTGTGACCTAAAAGAACTAGGTGCTAGAGTGAAATTCCAAGTATTACTCTAAGTAATGGGTGTATATAGATGCATAGTTGATTAATTCCGACTAGAATTAAAAAGAATGAGTCCATCAGCTCTGTGAATAGATAGGAATGCTAAATGTTCCTTTTAATAGAAGGAAAAAGATCAAGAGTATTTGAAATAAATTTAAAAATTCATTGAGGCTCCCATCTGGATAATATACGTGTTTGTCTGTAAAAGTCCGTAACTTATATACCACATATTTGTTTTGTTTCTAAAAATAGTTGTGGGAAAGCCCATAGTTCGTGCTGACATGTAAAAGAAATGTGATAGTAAAATACAAAGTTATCCTCAATGTTCACATATCCGTGTTAGATGATGATGACAATCAAAAATATTATAAACAATACATGTATATATACAATAACATTATCGCACTTCAAAGAAAAGAGGATATTGTGTACCATGCTCTGTCTGCTGCTTCGTGAGTTTATAAAGTAATTTAATAATTGTGTCAAAAGTGCACATAATTCCCTTATTTGCTCTAAGTTGACTTGTTGATAAATTAATTGACCTGTCCATAGTTGCCTATTAACTACTGGTTTGAAGAAGACGTAGTTTATCTTCGTGAACTGATTAAAGTGTGAATTTTGGCAAGGTATATTTTGATCGTATTAAATTCATTCGTAGCATGTTATGCTGTTGTTCTGGAAGTCCAGTGTCTGTTGTGTATATATATACTATCAAGAACAACGGTAAATGAGTTTTAGTGAGCTATCTGAATAACCTATACCAATAGTAATAACATATCATATGTTGAGGTCTTTTTGAAAATATCAACTCAGCTTTGCTTGTATAACTATATTTGCTTGTATAACTATATTAACTCTATTTGCGTAAGTAAGAAAATTTAGGGTCGGGCATGATACATGTATGTATGATTCAACAACGTAAACATGAGCTCTGTAGATCTCTCAACTGACTTGATATTTAATATAAAAATCAAATATCAAATTATAAGCATATTATACAACAAGAACACATGCATATAAATGTAAATAGCTAGGCAAACATGCATAAATTAAAGCAAGCAAGCTAACAAGAAAAGAAACGAAAATTGAAAAGTATATATATATACATGTAACTGAGTAACTCACTCATGTAAAAATGAATTGGTATGATTGCCAATGAGACAACTCTTCACAGTAGACCAAATGGCAAAGAAATCAATAACAATAAGTCATCGTACTGCCTTCAACAATGAGCAGGGCCCATACCGCATTACTAACAATAAGTCATTTTACTGCCTTCAACAATGAGCAGAGCCCATGCCGCATTAATAACAATAAGTCATTTTACTGCCTTCAACAATGAGCAGGGCCCATACCGCATTAATAACAATAAGTCATTGTACAGCCTTCGACAATGAGCAGAGCCCATACCGCATTAGTGAGTAATTAAAAAACCCCAAAAGAAAAATGTTAAATAAGTCAAACGAGAAAACTGTAGGCATAAATTATGTACATTTTATTTATAGTAATGCCGATTTAAGTGTATCAAACAGTATTAGGAAATATTTAAGACTGTTCAAAGAATTTGCACGTGTAAATACTTTAATCGAAGCCATCGACTCTGATTGGATTTATTCTAACGCTATAGCGTCATCCGCCTCAAAATTTGTCATTTGTCTTCTAAATCTCATATAGTGTATTTCATTTACAACGTCAGCTGAACCATCTAACACATAGTGTATAATTGTGTATAAGAAGTGGTATAATGTTATTAATAGATAAAGGTTGATGAATTTGCACTTATTGCCCTCGTGTGTATCTTGTATGTAATAGCGCTATGTGCGTCTTTCAAACGACTGCATGGTGATATAACATATTGTACATTAAAGCAGAGACATGTAAAACTTACATATTATGTCTCTGATTAAAGTCTCAGTGCGATCATATTGCTCATGTGAAATTCAAATTAAATATATGACATCAAATAATAATAATAAATAAACCTTTCAGTAATCTTATGTTTATCACTATCAGATTAATCTTATTCGTTATGAGATAAATATCAATTAGAATAATTATACGCCGCAAAACATCAACTTTTTTATAAATTCAACATACCAAGATTAATGTTTGACGAAATCTGCAAACCGCTGGAACCAGGTTATGAATTCTTTGGATCAGTGGTTCTCCTATTCTTTTGAATCGTGTTTTCCTTGTGCATGTTGTGCCGTGTGGAATTATAAATGGGGGCTCCTGGTGTGAAGCCATTAAATTGATCACCGGTCCATGAGCCACTGACAAATTGGAAGCTGTCCCTGTCATTGGTGCATTGTATAATTTTTATGGTGAAGATACATTAATTAAATTGTTCTATGATCTTTACACATCCATACATGTCGAAAGAAACTGGAGGTGTTCCTCGTGTTGATGGCATCGGATCGTATGGTGACAGTTCGGTTTACCTTTTAATTTCGTCATTTGCTGGCCCTTGCAAATGAAAATCCTTTCTTGGAGAATTACCTTGTCTCTTCGATAGTTTCATACCAAAATATTGTAATATGACATGCGGATGTCAATGATTTTTTACGATTGCATTTTTGAAACTTTTACATATCTAATAGAGTGGCTAGTTCAATGTAATGCTGAAGAGTCATGTGACGTTGATTATCGGGAAACGAGAACCGGATCCGAATGACGCAGTAATCATTTCTCTTTCATTAAATTGGTTTATCTTATAAATGAGATAAACCGTATTATAAAATATCAATCTAAACTTAATCTACAATATTAAATATTTTTCCTGTGATCTTTCTATTTAAATACCTTTAACCAAACATGCATATAATGAGATAAAAACGACAACATCCATTCAGTCCAATGTCCAACAGTGTATATAATGATTGCTTTGTGTTATATTTTGAGTATACCGTCATTGGAAATTCAGGAAACAATGTTATTTTTAACTACTGTAAATTCAGAAATTATTGCGTGCATTTATTATTGCGATTTTTGAAGAATTAACAAAAATGCGAGTTTAATTTTTGCGATTTTAGGAAAAGCTACTTACAGATATATGTATTTCATATCAGAATGCCAGTTCTTATTATTGCGATACTCAAGTAGTCGCATTATTCGCAGAAATAAAAACCTCGCAATCATTTCTGAATTTACAGTATCTGTTTCCCATTTCAGTAATCAATTGAACTTGGGGGAAAACGTAAATGATAATCGTTATTGAATACATTGTACTTCCGTCGTTGTCACGTATTTTACAAATGTTTTAGAATTAAAAGTATTTTTATCAAAGATTTGGTAAGAGGAAGTATTGATGAAAATCTAGCAATATTTATTGTCTCGATCGTATTTCCGTTTGGTCAATGTAACACCTACACTGTACATAGATATTGTCTTTGGTATGGCGACGATTATTCGCCAAATATGATATTATTTAATTGGGGAAAATGGAATGCATCGTATATATTACATAATATATTTCCCGTCAATGCTAAATACATTCCACTTGATAGACACACCCAAAACTATAGGGTCTTCTCGTTTATAAATACGTTTTCTGTTGACAACATCCCATTCTTTTGTAAGTATAGGCCTATATCCGATTTGAACATGTTGTTTCATACGAAGATTTCAGAAATAAAACATGAAAATTACATTTGATTAATTTATCCGAAGCGCTGTTCTGGATTTACTTTCATTAGGAAAGCTCAAAACCAAATATTTGAAAGCCAAGGATGTAAAAGTAAACATTTAAAGGACTTTAATGAGTTACAAAAAATACCTAACAGTACAACTGACCATATCAACCACCAACACCCGTCTCCTCCGAAAATAAATCAGACATACAAACAAAGGCATCAAAAACAAACAGCACATGGCCCAGATAGCCGGACTTGGTACAATCAAAAGATGTGAAGGGGTCAAATCTGTTTTACGTTTATGGTAAGTATTGGACGTAGCAATAGTTATAAGTGAACGTGCATTATCGGAAGTATGATCCATAATTTCAGGCAATTCCACTGAACTTTGGGTAACTGTTCGGTTAAAACATTGCCCGAATCACACAAACCATCCCGTTGCCTATCAATGCTACAGTAGCAAGAAGGTTTGACAAACGTGATGATTGCGGATTTCCAATTGTCAGCTTCCCATTTCTCAACAGTAACACAACTTTTGTGACATCGTATGGCGTACTGTAAATTCAGAAATTATTGCGATGTTTTTATTATTGCGAAAAATGCGACAGGGTTATAATCGCAATAATTTAAACTCGCATTTTGAAATTTTTTATATGAATTAAACAGGACTTTTCTCAATATCGCAAAAATCTAAATCGCATTTTTATTCAGTATATATTTTCATTTCTAAATTGATCGATATAATTTACGTTCGTGCATGAAAGTTCATACTATACGCATTTTATAATCAGGGTTGGGCTCCTGCCATGGAAACGACTGAAATCGACACTACACAAGTTTCACGGTCAACATCACGAATAAGTTGACCGATACGATATGCCTGTGTTCCTACTCACAAGCGACATGTTTTTGCGGTCTAAGATATTTAGATACCAGAATAGTGATTATAATAATGATAATAATATCTTTATTTAAAGAAAGTAACTCATTAGGATTAGACCAATTTGCAATAAGGCTATCTACATACAATATTAACTTAACGAATAAAACTTAATCAATCTACCATATATATATATATATATATATATATGTCTACAGCGATGGACACAGTGCAGGCGGTATTGTCTCGATATCCCAATAGCATGAGTTCGACTCCCGGCGAGAGAAGAACAAAAATTTACTTCCGCAAATTTGCAGATTTAACATTGTTGTGCTGATATTTAGAGTAATTATGAATATAATATGTGTTTTCAGCCATGTATCACCTTCACTGGTGATCCAGTGGATGGATAAGTATGTCGTAGAGTTGTCACTTGTTTAGACGTTCTTATCAAAATAATTATTTCTGCGATAGATATTTAGCTAATCTGCAATCAATTCCATCTCCATGCCTAATATATCATGTACTGTGTTACAACTCTAGATTCTACTGATTCTACTGACGAGGAAAGGTAACACTAGGCCACCGAAAGCTAAATTATTAGATCAGTCTAGGTGGCCGAGTGGTCTAGAGCGCTGGACACAGTGCAGGCGGTGTTGTCTCGATATCCCAATAGCACGAGTTCGAATCCCGGCGAGGGAAGAACAAACATTTGCTGTGCTGATATTTAGAGTAATTATATATATTTGTACGATTTTGCCCCTTGCAGAGTTATAGAAAAACACTACATTAACGGGTGTTACACGGACACTTTTTAGATGATACACGGACATTTTTTAGTTGTTACACGGACACTTTTTATGAATAGAATCACTCGTGCATGATCAATGAGTTCATGGGCACTTTAAATTTCTATAAGATTTGAACTTTTTCTTTCACCGACATATTTCCTGTCTTTTTTTATTAGAATATTTACGTTAGCATCAATAACTATATTTTTTTCAAACAATTCCAGTATATTACTATTCATATCAGTACACTAAGGGATTGACCATTTAACTTCAAAATGGGGGTTATGGTTTTTTCCTAAAAAAAATTCTGATCCCCAATTTTATGAGAAAAAATGTATTGTGGCCAAGCAGATGACAAAATAATGTTCTGATTCCTGATTTTCTGAATACCGTATATAGTAGTTTTTTTTTAATAAAAAAAATATTTGGGTGATAGCGTTGAAAAACTAAATAATTTTCTTACTCAGAAAAAAAAACATACCCCTTCCCCCTTTTTGAAGCTAAATGGTCGGTCCGTAAATGTATTTTTTTTCAATATATGGACATGAATAGTTTTCTTGACAATGCTTAAAGTAGAGAAATGCTGGTTCCGAAGTTTATATTTCAATAAAAAAAGACAGGAAATATATATATAAAAAAATCAAATCTAACCAAAAGATAAAATCCATATCAACCCACCAATGCACGATTGATCCTATTAATAAAAAGTGTTCGTGTAATACATGTTCAAATAGGCAGCAAATCTTGAATACAAATCATTAAACTTATGTCACCAATTTTGGACGGTAAGCTGCGATAGGATCATATTGTGACACGTGTTTGATCGTGATCAACACTATTAGAGACATATAAAAACCTATTAGCATGAACAATTAAAAAAACAAATCCAAAATATATGCCTATATATATCTAATCACAAGACAAAATCAATTGTTTCATAACATTTCATTCACTTATGAAATAGGAAATTCATTCTTTTTATACATTTATATTGTTATTGAATTCATATATGTTGAATTCATACATATTGAATTCATATATTTGGGAGCAAACGTACAATTTTTATTATTTTTAAGGGGGAACGAGGGAATGGAATGGCACATCCTGCATTTTTTCAACAAAAAAAGGATCAAGCCTGTATATTTTAAATTTATTATACCCCCCCCCCCCCCCCCCCAATTTTTTTTCGTTTTTCCCGAAATAAAAATCAACTGTTAGCTTGCTTACCTCTGAAATCTTTTTCATACATTTCTTACTTGCGAAGTTGCATTTTAAAAAGTCTCAAAGTGTACGACATTCATCTTTTACTTATCATGGTTCTTTTTCATAAAATTATTAGATTCTTGAAATTTTTGAGAAAAAAAATCTCGGCTGAAGGGAAAGGGAAAAAAAAGTTTGTTCAAACTGTAACTTACATTATCTGGTATATGGCCAATTAAGTTTCTAATCTGTTTAATTTTGCTACCTCTTCTAAATGCAAAATGTACTACTTCTTTCTTGAAACGTCGTACAAGTCAGATACAAAACAAAGGTAATAAAAAACAGGCCGGAAACAAACTGCCGTTTAATTTTTCTGCACTTGTAGTCAGGTCAAGGTCCTCGGCTATCACCTCGGACTTTCACCTGACTACTCGTGCAGAAAAAACTATCCGGCAACGGTTGTTACCGGCCTGTTTCTTTGTTACTTTTGTATTGTATCTAATACATATATCGTAGAAGTATGAAGTGAAAAGTACAGGTTCCAGCCCCGGCCGGGGAGGAAGTAAAGAATCAAATCTACTCTAACATTGTTAGGGTGATTTTCTAGGCACTTTATAAATATTCTAAGGCCTGGTATTTCTTAATCATAAGAAATCCAATGGACAAGGTATTGTTTACAGTTGTCACTACACATACGCAGACACACATAAATATATATATATACATATATATATATATAAACATAATTATAACAAAAATAATACACCTAAAGTATACATTGTGGTTAGTCTTGTAAATTTAACACTCTGTTAAAGCTACAATGACTTGTAAGAGTATTTGAATGCAGATACAGTTTTTGATTTTTTAATTTCACTGTATCATGTGGATGGGTCATTTTCAAAAAAAGACGAATTTTGAAATTGCAAAATTGAATCAAAGTAACTAATTCAAATAACCCTCTTCATAAGTAAATCTAAACAAACAGTACTTATGGAATAACATATAAAAGGATGCAATCTTGAAAATGTCATACAAGAATATATTGAAACATTTTTTTACAGATGATACAATATTTTGTATCACCTGTTACCATGTTGAAAAGAAATTTCGGGTTATTTAGAAAAGGCTTCGATAAAACTTTAAGCTTGTTTTTCATAGCCAATAAGATGGTTTTCAAGAGTCAAAACTTTTAAATATTTCATTCTGTGTAAGGATAGATTATTTGTCAATTTTCCATGTTGTACTGAAAAATACCTCTAAAATTTGGTTTTCAATGGTTATAAAAATAACCACCAGCAACGCAAGTCTAAGATAGTAATTCATTATGTTTAGCATTTGTTTTCTCTTTCTAGAAAACCCAACATCAAGTAATTCCGTCGCATGTTGGTTTACTTTTGTCTTTCTTTTGTTGATAACAGGAACGTACGTTAACGATATATCACCATATTAAGTTCTATCATGTTACCCTTTTTGTCTATCCTGCTACCGATAGCAATATTGCATTTGTATATGCTGAATTGTGAAGGTTAGGATGTTGTAACCTTAAAATGAGTTCAGACAACCAAACATTTCATTATGTGTAAAGCTATATGTAATTACAGATATACACTATTTAAAGACGTTTCTGTCAAATATTGTCTATTCTTTTACTGTAACCATAGTAACAATAGTAACAGGATAGACATAACAGGATAGACAAATTTCTTCATTTATGAATGTTGTTGTGAAATAACTACTCCCTTTGATGAAGTGATGATGTTATTTCTGTTGTGATTTTGGTTTCCAACACGTAATTGCACTTTTTACAAGTATATTATTGGTGTAATTAATATATATGTTGGTGACATTATAGACATGACAAAAGGGTACCCACTATTTTTTTTCACTAAATGTCTTGAATTTATTTTTCCCTACACGGTTATGAAATAAACGTGCTGTGTTATATTGTTAGGATGCTTTGTGCTTTTGAAATCATCATTGAATAGTATCCTAATCAAAGGGGAGAAACAAGTTAACGGTTTATTTAGTAGCGATAACAGGATAGACATGCATTTCATGTACGCTGATTGAATTTATTTTGTAGAAAAAATGTTATATAGAATAATAAAGAAGTTACGTTAGAGTTATTATTAACATTTTAAAATAGTTCCTTTCGCAGATAGCAAGGCAATCAGAACATAGGGAAAAAAAACATTTGAAAAGTGTTACACTGACACTGTACGCAAAAACATTACGCAAAAAATCGGACTTCAATATATTTTAATCTTATCAAAATAGATCTTCATACGGTTTCATCCGGCTTTATCACGATAATGTTAAAATCAACTTTTCATTGTACCGATACTGTAAATTACCCCCGCCCCGAAATGTTTTTAACTTAAATTTCATTAAGCAAAATGACATGAGTAACCTGAACGACTCGCAGCTGTTATGTTCAAGTAGAAGTCGTAATAATCTATTCATATATGTCCGTACATCTGTCTTGTACTGCTTATGAATTGTTTCGTTGTGAGTTGTGTATCTTCCTTTGAATTTAACTTCCGATTTCCCTATTAACTTACATTGTTATGAATTTCTACCTGATAAATATATATGTACCTCTTACAGTCAACCTGATGTAATTATACAAGGTATCATTAACAGTGTCAACAGTACAGCAATATAACCCCGAATCATGGAAACTGCAGTTTGAACTTTTTAAATCATATTTTTCTCCACCTTCTTCGCCAATAATTCGACGTCTTTGATGGAATGTTAAATTAGTATTTATTCTCCAACCATCTGTATATGTTATGCTTATTCCTGTAGATGTATCCCTGTTTCCATTCAGATTTAGCCACTGAACTATTCTGTTTCCCGGTATATTCCGGTATGAAGGATAACAGAATCACCAACTGTACCTATAAATTCAGGATATTGCTCAGAAAATACTTATGAAAAAAAATAAATCGCAACGGATACTTACAAAGAGCCACATATACATAATATATATATATTCAATCATACCCGTAATTTACAATATTTCATATTCTTCTTATGATCTTTCTATGTTTTAAATACCTTTAACTAAACATGCAAATACTGAGATAAAAACAACGACATCCATTCAGACCAATGTCCATCCGTATAAATGTGATCACTTATCATTGTATTTTTATTACACCGTCAGTGCAAAATTCCTATTTCGAAAAGGAAATAATAAATAATTTACAAATATCTACATATGTTTCCCTGTTTCCGATGGAATGAAATAAGACAAAAGATCATACTATTGAATTACTTCCTTCATTGACACGTATTAAGGTAATAATAGTATTTATTTCCAAAATGTTTCGTCTACAGGAAGTATAGAAATCAAGATTTCGTTCTATTTACTAGTATCGAAAAATGCAGTTCATAGTTTAAACTTATTTATTTCGTCCGCCATTTCTTTTGTTTATTGTAGTTACTTTTCAAAAATAATGCTTAACAGCATGAATTACACATTGGACTTGTACTTTAATATCAAAATAAGGAGTTGAAGGTTGATTGCCAACGAGACAAATATCAATATAAACAGACTTAGGCCTTCAGCAATGAACAAAACCTATAAGGTATCACGAGTAAGGTGGGATTGAAGGCAGTTATAAAGAGAAAATTAACGGCCTGATTTATACTACAACAATCCCTTGTTTCACTTTTAATGTTGATTATGCGTAACCAATCTCTAGCTAAAAAATTAAATTGAAGGTCATATGAATACGGATTCAATGAGCTCAAATTATTCACTTGCAAGTTAATAATTCATCAGCGATATTTTTTAGCTTATTTTGACAAAATTGCACCAAACTGGCTGCGAAAAGTGATTTATCATTTCACTATGTCACTTTCATTAATGATTGAACAAAAACAATCATATTTTAATTTTTTTTATATCTCAGAGCGAATGCCCTTTTAATAATGTTCTTCAGTATTTAAATTCTGCTTTGTAAATGATATTTTCTTTGATGTTAACATAATATTTAATACTTTCCTTTTAGATTGATATATGTTGTATGGTCTTGGGTCGTTTGGCAAATACAAAATTGTTTTTTTCAACATTTATTGTCGCCTGTATATAGCCAATGCTTAACGACTTGGGTTTATACAGCCACAATCAATCACGTAATTTTACTAATTGTGAGGATATGTAACATGATAATAATAATATATACTTAACAATTTACCAACATTACTTTTAATTAATGCTATTTACTTTACATCACTATGACCATCCAAAGTAATTGGTACTGATTAAAGAAATGGTCAGCTATGCAACCCAATTATGGTTAGTTTTTACATTATTAGAGAACACATTAGATTGACGAAACTTGCTATTTTAATCCTGGTATCTATGATGAGTTTATTTGCTGATCATTCAAACCAAAGATTGCAAGTCTCTTCCAAGATGAAATTAGTTCAACAACAATTAGTTCATGTTATGCATTTTTGAAAAGTTAACCGGGGGATTGTAGTTTTATTTTGGGAAAATGTCTAAAAACGTACGGTATGATTCTTGATCCAAAAACAAAAAGATAAGCCTTACAACCATGACGTCATTACAAAGAAAGTACATTTATCAATATTTATTTTGTTATTTTTACTAACCGGGAAAAAAAAGCAAGTCAGGTTCTCAGGGTCTGGAGTTGTGTATTACCTTTTTTTTCAAAATTGTTTGTGCATCCATATTTTTCGAAGAAGTTAGATGTTGCTGTTTGGTGTGATTTGGTACGGATCTTTTGATATCTTATTTGTGTTTTGTAAATCGATACAATTATGCACGCAAGATTTATTTTCCCATGGTTTTCACATCTCCAAACAAAGTACAATACATTGAAAATAAATCAAAATGCACAAACAGAAACGCAGTAAACATATCTTTCATTTCTAATACTTGGTTCAATTTCAGATAAGTACTAACAAATATTTTCCGATGATTTGTGGGTTTTTTTTAGCAAAATTTACTAGTTTGAAAAAATCCATTATGATAATAGTCCTAAATTGTTTTCATTGTATATTTTTAAAACGCTGTTTATGCCAAAGAGTGGGATGAGCAAAAACATAGCTTTGTTTCCGAAAAAAGTCGCAAAAAGTCAATATTTTGCTATGCGTATTAATCTTTTGTGTTAAGTTGTTGTTCTGCTTACTTTTTCTGAATGTCTTCTTATTCATGTCTTTTTAATGATTTAGTTTATAGCAACCCATTAACAAACAGAAAAATTTCTCAAATTTCACCTATATTTTTAAAAAAATCAATGCCTATTGTTACTGGCAATAAACACGAAAAATCAAATAAGTGTTCAAACCTGACTTTTTTAGTTGTAGAGAAAGGGAACTCGTAAAACGGTTTGAGCTTCAAAATTTCCAATGTATATAAATTGTTATGAAATCAAGTAAAAATTAATATGATATAAGATTTAATTGGTTCCCCATTTTAAAAGTTCCAGGATCCACTACTGATTCACCTTAGCTTACCAAAAAATTGTAACAAAAATACCAAACTCAAAGGCATATTCAAAAATGGATTGTTTGTTGCTGTGTAACATATATTTTTTATCGTTCATTATTTTGTACATAACTTAGGCCGTTAGTTTTCTCGTTTGAATTGTTTTACGTTTGTCATTTCAGAGCCTTTTATAGCTGACTATGCTGTATGGGCTTTGCTCATTGTTGAAGGTCGAACGGTGACCTATCGTTGGTAATTTCTGTGTCATTTGGTCTCTTGTAGAAAATTGTCTCGTTGGCAGTCATACCACATCTTCTTATCTTCATATAGTCACAAAAACTGACACAATCAAACCAATGGAAAGAGGCTTCTATGAATTACCTCTTGCATAAGAACAATTCATTTCGTCAGCTTAAACAATTGTTATTATAAACATTGAATAAAAACATGAAATCAATATCAAATGCATTGGTTTGATCTTGGCATGATTAATAAATGGATAATATTTGAACAATAAAAACTAATCATAGAATAAAAGAGACCATGTCGAAAAATAGAAAAGTCTATGCTGTGAATTTTTAAGGAAAACGGACAACCAGCATAATTTTCTACACAGGCAAAGGGTCACAATAGTAAAGAATTATAGTCACTTAAACTTTTCCGTTCTCGTATTGGGGGATGATATCTGTTTGATTGTTTTAAACACAATCACGTCTCATCATAATGCGAACATTCATTGAAAGCATTGTCAGCCTTTAGATAGTGGAAAACACATTTCACTTTTTTCAGTCGTCCCTTTCGACCGTCTGGGTCCCCATAACCTTCCCAATTTATTAACCAATAAATATATTATCGTCTTCAATGTGGTTGAAATATTTGACACTCGGAGTAATATAGTACTAATAGTTACTTCTAGCAGTCTACAGAGAGATGAAACGTGTACGATGTATTCGCCAGTCAGCAGATCATGGAGTCATCCGAGTTAACAGTTCGTCAGTAATTTGATTTATAATCTTCTTTTAGGTTTTTAACTGTTTGTGTTTAATCTCTTAAATGTGCAAATGTTATATTATTGTTTGCATCTCCTTATGATTTGAATGTTGTTGTTAAATAACTGTCTTTTCTTTTTATCGTAATCAAATATACATATTTACGATTCGAACTTCAGCTTGAATCTCAAATATTTTTCATGCTGAATTTTGTACATGAAATGTCTTTGGATAAAACGCATGGTCAGTTATATTGCTTTGTTCTTGAGATCTATGTATTCACTAGGGCGTACAAGTGAAATTTCCATAACAGCAAATTTAATAATGTCAAACAAATATTTTCATACACTAGCATTATTTAATGGGTGTTTTCATATCGATTCTGCAATATATATCCAAGTAAAGACGTATTGGCTCGAGGTTTGTTCTATTGACACGAGGACATAATACAAGAGCAATATGAAAACACACATTCTATGACACCTTTATTAACTAATGACTTAACATAACCATCAAACGCAGATTGAGAAGAAGACCAATACATCAATATGAACTAATAGGGTTAATGTTCATGTAAGTAAAAGGAATGGCCAAAATAGATCTAATAATTCAGTGCGATGAATGATCCTGTTATTACCGGTTATTGACCTTATGAGACTCTCGAATTATAGATGAATTATCTCCCATAAAGATAAAGTCACTGAATGGCAACGGATAGTTTAGAAGTACCTCGAGTGACGAAGAAACGAGTAATAATAATTAACCTAGTGACTATGATAGCTTTCACAAACGGCCAGTTTCAGCATTTAACATAAAGAGTCTACCTTTGTTTTACAAACGAGGCATTTGTAGACACACAGTAATTCTCTGACGTAACTGTTTCGTATCTATAAATTTGAATTTAAAGTATTTATTCCTGTACATGTAATTGTCTATTTCCCTAATTTACAATTCCATAGAATTAACGCTGATGACATATATACATTCATAAGGAAATGCCTGTACCAAGCCAGGAATATGACAGTTGTTTTCCATTCGTTTGATGTGTTTTGGCTTTAGATTTTGCCATTTGATCAAGGACTTTCCGTTTTAAATTTTCCTTGGACTTCGGTATTTTTGTTATTTTACTTTTTATACATGTGGGAAAGATGAACAATTGTTATACCTTGTATGCATGCACATTGATTGGTTGATTAATTTATGATGTTTAACACCACATTCAGCACTCTTTGCTTTATCAAGATGGCTGATTTTTGTTGTTGAGGAGTACCAAGAGAGAGACATCGATATCCAGCAGGAAAACTGGCAATCCTTGTATTTTGAGATCGGAGTGTAATGTTCCTGACATAAGAATGGCTCAAACTCATATATAAGTCATTTATCTATACATAATCCCGGGTTTTCCACCCTTTATCTTAAACATAACGAATTTCTACACGGGTGGGACAAAACTGGGATTATATATAAGCCACTTATATATATGTCATTCCGGTTTCGTCCCACCCTCTATGACTGGATTGTTGTCTCATTGGTAATCTTACCACATCTCCTTTTTTTTAAAAGCGATCTCTCATTTAGTATGGAACTGTAATATATTACATATATAGACCATCGCATTTCAGCGAACAGACCATTGCACTTCGGCGATGACCATCGCACTTCAGCGTGACCATCACACTTCAGCGTCCCCATCGTACCTCCGAGTCCTACATATATATAAG